GTAATATCTGACCACGAATCCCGTGTTAGTAGCCTCCACACAGCATCAACTTCATCAAAAGGCTTAACGTGAACTTCCTCGAGATCATGCAGACCGTACAAGAAATTGTCTGGGGATGAAAATTTCCCCTGGGTTCCTTGTTGAAGAATCTTGGAGAGGAAATCATTGTTGGAATTGTCAAATTTAGAAACTTGATACTGAGTTACCAATTTCGGACGACATATACGGAACAAACCATCATAAAAGGCATAACTAGTTAAAGAAGGTAGATGGCAGGCCATCTCCACCGTCAAATGCTCCACTTGGTGTCTGCATGGGAGACCTTCTAACCCCTCGATTTCGTAATCACATAACGAATAAGACTGCATACACACTTTTAGAGAAAGATAAATTTTCGACTGGCTCAACTCTGTTAACAGCTTGCTCACCTTACCAAACATTAGAGCATTGAAATCAGAATAAGATATAGTGATGTGAGACTCCCATTCCTTTGAAGCCGATTGAAAACCCAACTTGGGAATTACGGAACCATTAAATTCAAATTTGCGAATTCTGGGGACATCGAGTACGGTATTCGGATGCCAATAGTGATCGAAGTGCAAACTCAGACGTTCGAGCGAGCAGCTAGAGATTCGCATTTCATCACACAAGTTGAATAGTTCCAAGGTTAAATCCTTGAGATTAGGAAATTTAGATGACAAATCACCTAAAAAGAAGGCATCATCCACTTTCACGTCACGAAGCACAAGAGAAGTCAGCATAGGAAGATTGGTTAGGCCAACACGAACGTATTTACTGCACCATTTTGTACGATCCCATTCCCAAACATTGAACAGGGACAATTTTTTAATCAAGGGACAGGTCGAAGTTATGTAGGAGATTCGATCTCGTTTAATTTGCACGTCCTTTAAACCAAGGGATTCGAGCTTTGAACATCTTACGGTTTTATCGAGCAATTGATCGTAAATTTTGTACCCTGCCACAGCTAATCCGACAAGGTTTTCTGCTTCGAAAACATCGTGTGGTAAACTGTGTTGTCCACTATCCCTCACCTTTGTGAGGCGTAAATCGAGACGAGTGGCGCCCAATCTTAAAGCTTTCACAATAATCTCGTCAGAAAGGCCAAAGGGATCGTCGTGAGATGAATGACGCCCTTCACTACAGCACAAACTTAACCTCAAACTCTCAATCTTTTGGTTCGACTTAACGTACCTCTGAAACGTCGTCTTCGCAAATTCGGATAACTCGTCAAGGTCGCCGCGTCTATAGCCGTCTTCGAAATCGCTTTCGTCGAACTCGAGGTTCGGGCGAGTTAACCAGGCTGCGTGCCAGGATTTTGATAAAATACTCGTGCGAGCAGCTTGTCTTGGGGTGAGAAGGGATTGAATTTGACGGATTATGGTTTCGGGTAATTGAATTTCATTTGCCATGGCTGGATGGAAACATCAATAGGTGAATATCAACTGCCGCAAACATCAATAGGTGAACTTATAAAAGAAAATCAACTGCCGAATTTCTAGCAATGCAAACTACAAACAGGAGAAACCAGATCACATTCTTATCTTGTAAACTAGTTGAATACAAGGAAATATATCACTGTTAGGTCACTTGTTACCTCATCATTTTGCTGCTCGCCCAATGAACTCAACCAGAAATAATTGCAAAATAAAGAGTTATTATAGGAAATGCAACTAATCTCAATATATTTAATATTTTTCTGTAGGGTTCTGGTACAGAATTTAAAAGATTCCAGCCAGCATATTTCACCACCAACAGTAGTAAGCCAATAAAATAAAGCAAAAAACTGTTTTTTTTTTTTTAATTTAGAAGAGAATGTTTTGTTTTATGACAATAACGTAGACACCATAACTATCTTCTTATATATAATTCAGTTGGTAAGACATGAAGAATGAGATACACTCATACACATGTGATATAATTACCACAAACAACTTCACAATGTCCGAGGGCAAACAAAATTACATAGATATAACAAGCAGCAATATCCATATCTAAGCTATCTGTTAATTTACAAGCTCTATATAATAATACTAAAATCCGGATATTTTGTAAGTCACCTTAAGACTCTGAAATATATATAGAATCAAAACCGAACTATGTACAGGTCACTTACAGCAATATTAAGTCCTTAAAACAAGCCTAGCAGTTCCATATACCGTAGTAAAAGATATAATAGCAGTCATATTGGTTTTGCAATTTTGGTTGAACAAAGCTTGATGCTATATTGTTATAATTAACTCAAGCTAGTAGGCTGTAATCACAATAGTCACATTACTTATTTAGACCATATACACATATACATACTATTATATTTATATATTTATATGAAATACAGTCAAACTGTAAATGTATTTAAAAGTTTAAATTACTAAAGTGAATTGTGGCTTTACCAGCACACATCTAACAGCTCTACTCATTTGTACTAGTTGCACAATTAATCCTCTCCAAGTAAAGCCAATTCCAGTTTATTATCTATGGACAAGACTAATTATATTTTCCTCAAAGGAATCAACATTTTCATGAGCAAAATTTAGATTTTTTTTTTTTTTTTTTGGAAAATAGGAAAGGGTTTTTTTGTAACGGAATTTGACAGCAATAAAAACTTTCAAATTAATACACAGAAAATTATTAATCTTTTCTGATAAAAATATATCTAATGAAAAACCATTCTGCGCATAATTAAGTCTTAAACCAAGATCCTTCGGAGGCGTATCGCACCAAATTAACAGACCACAGAAAGTATCAAACTTGCAAATAAGAGGTAATAAAATCCGGATATTCAAGTTTCATTCACAGACATCAAAACACATTCAGACTTCGCAAACAAAAGCACATTGAAACCGTTCATGGGAAGAGCACATTCACAGGCACATCACTTCGGAATCAAAACACTTTCACACCAGTGATATCAAAATTTTAAGATTAATGCCGATAATTACCTTTCGCAGATGTCAGACTTCAGAATCGGTGGACAAATTTGATAGCGGACAACGGACGATAATTACACCAGATCGATCGTTGCCGAGGGAGATGAAGCTGGAGTGCGGTTTCTGTTCTTTGGGCTAGGGTTTATGGGGTTTTGTATTGATCTCGCGCGGAGGCATCTAATTAGGATTCCTCGTTTAAATAGGTATTGATTTTTTTTTTAAATCGGATTATATACTACAAAAAAATTTAAAAAGAGAACAATTATAGTATGCACAATTATAAAAAGAAATTTAATAATTAGTTGGAAAGAGATAAATAAACGTATGATTGTTTTAAGGAATTTGACAAAGAAATAGCTAAGAGCATCTCCAATGTGACTTTTGACATTATAAAAATTCATCCATATCATCAACTTTTGAAAGTTTGTTACAAATTTATTCTCCAATGCATCTTGTCATAAACTCTTTCATGATGAGGTGAATAACATTTAATGTTGACAATGTTGAACACACTTTCTAATATCTAACACCATGTTAAACATGATGACTAATCAATTCACTTTATATTTGATTTAATTTTTTATTGTTCTTGTATTAATGATTATTTTAATTGGTCCACCTATACATATAACTTCTTATCAAATTGATGCATTGGAGATACTAATTTGATTCAAATTTCTACTCTTTTAACATTATTCCTACATGAGTTAACATTACAATCATTGATTGACATGTGTTAAAAATTATTGTCTTTCAAAGTTATAATATTGGAGATGCTCTAATATATATGTAAATAGTTAACCCAGATAAATATGGTAAAATATTGGCTCCAAAATAGAAATTGCCACGAATAATTAAAATAAATTTACGGACCGAAACTCAATTAGAATGAGATTTTGCTGCTAATCGATGTCAAAAAATATTTTTTCTTTTCTTCGGAAAAAATAAAACATTCTTAACTACTACTATCTCCTATTCTTTTTAAATGTCATTTTGGCTTTATCAACTATTAACCAAAATAAATGTCGTTTTGAATCTTTTGTACATATTTTTCCATTATTACCCTCATTTAGTTAATAAATACATTACGTCTTTTTATATTCTCTTCATCTTTTTTTTAAAACATCCATCTTTATCTTCATTAATGAGGGTTATTATTGGCAAAAAAATTATTTTTAATTAGTGTGCAACTTCCCAAAACGACACTTATTATGAATATGAGGGAGTAATAATTATTGAGGACAAAAAATGTCTTTTCAATAAGATTATCACATGCAAACACATGTACGGTGGGTTTGATTAGAGTTCGTTAAATAAAGTTTAAATTTAATATATGATAAAACTAAAATGATTTGTTATTATAATCTTCTTGATACACATATTAGATTACGTACTGGAAGACTTCTTATTGATCATTATTTAAATTACAACATACACTTTTGGTGTGTAAAAGACCTCGATCAGAGCCAAATGACTTGGATCGGCTTCTTGACCAGTTCTACGTAACCGTCCTTTCTACGTAACTATCTTGTCATCTGTCTTGTCATCGTGCAGTGTACCCATTAAATGTTATATGGGTGTTGCTAAATACCGCACCATTTTTGCTAAATACTGCACCCTTTTTGCTAAAAATAATAGATAAATCATAATTATTGTTACTTATATATTTAATTTATATTATAATCCTAATATTATTTTTTCTCGTGCATCGCACGGGCCACGCACTAGTTAAGATGAATCACTGAAGATATTAGTCCGTACAAATCGTTCGTATAATAGTTGGTATGCTCAATTTTAAAAAAACATTTGATGTGATTTGTTTTCATGTTAGGAAATTGAACATTCAAAATTTGGATAAATATGTTCAAGATCATTTGTAATATTTTTAATACCAATTATAATTGATAGTTGCCGATATCGTTTGGTTATATCAATACCAATTTAATTCTTATTATATATATAGATTATTAAATTTAATAGATGCCTCCAGCGCAAGATTAATATAAACCCCATAACCCTTCTCAGTCCCCAAAATTCTTATGGTTTCCAGCGATGGCAGATGAATTTGAGTTACCTGAAACCATAATCCATCACATTCAATCCCTTCTCACCCCAAGACAAGCTGGTCGCACGAGTATTTTATCGAAATCCTGGCACGCAGCCTGGTTAACTCGCCCGAACCTCGAGTTCGACCAAAGAGATTTCACCGTTGGATTCTTCGACCCTGAGAAGTTATCCGAATTTGCGATGACTTTTCAGAGGCACGTTAAATCAAACCTAAAGATTGAGAGTTTGAGGTTAAAGCTAGACTGTAGTGGAACGCGTGAGATTGTCGATCCCTTTGGCCTTACTGACGAGATTATTGTGAAAGCTTTAAGATTGGGCGCCACTCGTCTTGATTTATGCCTCACAAGAAGGTTGACAAGTGCGGGTGATAGGGAACACATTTTACCACGCCAAGTTTTGGAAGCGGAAAACCATGTCGGGTTAGCTGTGGCAGGGTACAAGATTTACGATCATTTGCTCGATGATCAAACATCGGTAAGATGTTCGAAGCTCGAATCCCTTAGTTTAAAGGACGTGCAAATTAAACGAGATCTCTTCTCCTGCATAGCTTCGACCTGCCCCTTGATTAAAAATTTGTCCCTGTCCAATATTTGGGATCCTAAACCGGGCGTTGATTCTGTTTGTGGTCGCCTAACCACCAATCTTCCTATGCTGGCTTCTCTTGTGCTTCGTGATGTGAAAGTGGATGTCTTGTTTTTGGGTGATTTGTCGTCTAAATTTCCTAATCTCAAGGATTTAACCTTGCAACTACACAACTTTGATAAAGAAATGCGAATCTCTAGCTGCTCGCTCGAGCATCTGAGCTTGAACTGCAGACACCATGGGAATCCGCAGATCGTGCTCGATTATGTCCCCAGAATTCGTAAATTTGAATATATTCGCTCGAGCATCTGAGCATTTATGTTTCTCTAAAACTGTTTATCAACCCTTCTTTGTTTTGTGATTACGAAAAAGAGGGATTAGAAGGTTTCCAGTGCAGACACCAAGTGGAGCATTTGACGGTGGAGACGGGCCGCCATATACCGTCTTTAACTAGTTTTGCCTTTTTCGATGGTTTGTTCCGTATATGTCGTCCGAAATTGGTAACTCAGCACAATTTGAACAATGATTTTATCTCCAAGATTCTCCAACAAGGAAACCAGGAGAAATTCTCATGCCCATGCAATCGTCCGAAGATGGTCACTGATCAGCATCCCGTTTCTGAATTTCACAATTCGAACAATGATTCGTTTCTCTCCAAGATTCTCCAACAAGGAACCAAACGGAAATTCTTGTGCCCATGCAATTTCTTGTACGGTCTGCATGATCTCGAGGAAGTTCACGTTCAGCCTGTTGATGAGGTCGATGCTGTGTGGAGGCTACTAACACAGGAATCGTGGTCAAATATTCATCCTGACAAGAAGCAGAAAGTTCGGTTCTATTTGAAATGGAGGCCTTTACCCCAGTGTGCATCTGAATATGTTATGAGGAGCTACCAAGTTTTGTTGGTTTTTCTTACTTTTCTTTTTAGCAGTTTAGAGTGTGAGTGAGTTTTTTTGTGATTCAAAATTGTTCTCGTGGCACATAATTTTATCCTTCTTTCCTCGTCTATATTGTCATTGGTCGTTTGGAAAACAATATATTTTACTGAAATAAAATTGTTCGGTTCAAGCCTACAGTCCTCGTCTTTTAGAACTTAGAAGAGAGTGGGCAACTTATGCGTATTCTTTACAATTGTCTTGGTTTAAGTTGAAAAAACAGACCTATGGGGTTCAGTGCTTCCAGAATTTCTCTTGTAATGTTGTTATAGTGGTTGTAGTTGGAAAGTACCACCTGTTATAATATAACAATGCAAACAGCACATTGCT